AAAAGAAGATTACATTTCTGCAAATCTTGTCTGAAAACATACAGCAATTGCAGCCTTGTTTTGATGTATCCTTATTTCCCTCAAACACAACACATTAATCAAAACTTCACTCTTGTTCCATTCTTCACATTTATAAACAACAAATCTCTCCAAAGAGCTTTTGCAAGAGCCACAAATCGTTGTTTTCTCAATCAAACCTTCTTCAAATGGTACTATCATCTCAAAGTTATGATGGCAATTTTCACCTTCACCAAAAGGAGCTTCAAATGCACTCCTAACTGCACCAGCTAAGCCCATTTGCACCACATTTTTACACCAAAAATGAAATCCATCGAGAAATTCTCCGATTTTTTCTCCATCGGTCATTATTACATCGTTCGGCCCACCAATCACGGCCCAATTTCCACCGGTCTTTAAAAGTTCGCTCGCTCGCTCTCGACGAGATCTCATCCAAATGGGCCGTGATGTTTTGTCGATCGACTGATCTTCTTATCGCCTCTAGTCGAAACCAGAACATTTTCACCTTATTAAGAGATAGAGAATCGCATAACTTTTCTCGATAAATTGTGTCTACAATGGTTTTCACATTCTCACTGGGATTGTTGCAGCCAACATATATCATTTCAAGATTAATTAACTTCATTTTGGCATTAAAATCTCTAATCCAATCTAAGTTGTCACTCCCAAAAATGCATGTTGTGGTATCATCCCAAGATCATAAACATAATTGAGAGAAAAAAAGTTTCTATTACTCACAAGAATAAAAAACAAGATATTTACAAACTCTAAACAAAAAACTCTCAAATTCTCTCACAACTCTTCTTGGTTGTGTTTCAACACTCTCAAGGTTGATTGATCACACTCTTGGATGATTTGAATGAATGAAATAACAAGCCTATTTATAGGCAAGATTGAGCACACCTTTGTTGGCAAATGTGTGTGAATGGGGATGGTTGGTGGAGGCTATCATTCTTGGACTTCTTCCTTGGTGTGCTTGAACGTTTGGTGGATGGACTTGGTGCATGGAACTTTCAATTCTCCCCTTTCCATGCAAGTTCTGAACAAACATTCCTACTATGTCTCTGCATAGTTTAAGCTTGTCCAGTGTAACCACTTTTGTCAACATATCTGATGGATTCTCCTTCGTATTGATCTTCACTAGTTTCAACAGCTGTTGATCAATTTTCTCGCGTATCCAGTGATACCGAACATCAATATGCTTTGTGCGGGCATGGTACATAGAGTTTTTGCTTAAGTCAATAGCACTTTGACTATCACAATAAACCTTATACTCTTTCTGCTTGATCCCAAGTTCATGGAGATAACGTTTTAGCCACAACATTTCTTTACCAGCTTCAGCGGCAGCAATATATTCAGCTTCTGTTGTGGATAAAGCAACACACTTCTGCAATCTTGATTGCCAAGAAATGGCTCCCCCTGCAAAAGTGTAGACATAACCCGAAGTAGACTTTCGACAATCAATATCTCCGGCCATATCAGCATCAGTATATCCTTCCAAGATTGGATCAGCTTCCCCGTAACAAAGACATAACTTAGGAGTACCCTTCAAGTATCTGAGAATCCATTTGACTGCCTCCCAATGCTCCTTCCCGGGGTTAGAAAGAAAACGACTCACTACACCCACTGCATGAGCAATATCTGGCCTGGTACATACCATTGCATACATCAAACTTCCAACTGCTGAAGAGTAGGGCACTGCAGACATCTCCCCCATCTCTTCCTTGGATGTGGGACATGATCTTTTGCTCAACTTGAAATGATTCGCAAGTGGAATACCCACTGGTGTGGCATCACTCATATTGAATCTTTCAAGTACTCGTTCAATGTACTTTTCTTGAGATAGCCATAACTTGCCGTTCTCTCGGTCTCGAGTAATCTGCATCCCAAGAATCTGTTGAGCCTTTCATAAATCTTTCATATCAAAAGACTTAGAAAGTTCTTTCTTCAGCTCACTTATCTTCTCTGCATCATTCCCAACGATCAACATGTCGTCGACGTACAGTAGAAGAACTATAAAAGCCCCGCTTGAGTATTTCTTGATGTACACACACTCATCTGCAGTAGTCTTCTTGTAACCTTGACTCTGCATGCATGAGTCAAACTTCTTATTCCACTGCCTTGGTGCTTGCTTCAGACCATACAAGCTTTTAGATAGCTTGCACACGAGGTTCTCACTTGAAACCTCAAAACCTTCTGGTTGTTGCATATAGATTTCTTCTTTCAAATCTCCGTGAAGAAAAGCTGTCTTCACATCCATCTGTTCAAGCTCCAGGTTCATACTTGCTGCCAAGCCAAGTATGACTCGAATTGAGGTCATCTTGACAACTGGTGCAAAGATCTCGTCAAAATCAATCCCTTTCTTCTGCTGAAAGCCTTTGACAACCAATCGAGCTTTGTGTTTCACCACTTGTCCATTTGAATCTTTCTTCAGCTTGAACACCCATTTGTTTTTCAAAGCCTTTTTCCCTTCTGGAAGTTTAACAATCTCATAAGTTTGATTTTTCTGCAGAGAATCTAATTCTTCCTGCATCGCAATCATCCATTTTTCTTTATCCTTATGAGATATGGCTTCTTGAAAACTCTCTGGTTCTCCATCTTCTGTCAATAGAAGGTATTCAGATGATGAGTACCTTTTTGATGGTATATGACCTCGTTCAGATCTACGAGTGGGTA